GACGAAGAATCTTAATTTAATGGGGTGGGGGGGAATTGCTTTTAATGATTTAATGCATTGATGAAGTGTGCAAGTGCCTATGGAATGAGTGGCGCTGTCAAATCCTTCCTTGCATAGTGATGCGAGTGTCACACACCTCCTTACTGTCTTGGTACAGAGCTATCCACGGTCTCATTCTCCACGAGAAACATCCTTTACTTCTGCTCTATGTACAATAATCACTGTATTTAAAGAGGTTTCTCTTGAGGCCATTGAACCGATATGTCAGATGTGTTTAATGCATTTAATTACTTGATAATGAAGCACTATAATTTTTTGTTCAGGAAGGGCTGCTTTTTATTGCAAATCAGGCAATCGTACAACATCTCGTATTTTTTCCTTCTATTTCCAGATTGAAAAGATTTCTAGGTAGCTCTTAACTAGTTCTTTTCTGGTTTCATCATCTTAAGAAGCTGTCTACCGCAGGTAGCTTTCACAAGTGCTCAAAATCTTAGCGCGGTTAGATGTAATAATTCGAACACGCTCTGGATGTAACTGAAAAGCACATGCACGTTCTGTGCACGTGCAACGAACGCGAAGAAAACCTGTAAGTGCTTTCTGCTTCAGAAACATTTTTCGCGCCCTCTCGCTGGTTCGTTCGCAGGCGGAGCGGGAGCTTCCCGCGGGAATGCCGGCGGCGGCGCTCCTGCAGCTCGGCGTGCTGCTTGCCGCGCTTCCGGCGCAGTATCTCATAGCCCTGTGGTACGGAGCGGACGCAGCGCAGCGCATCCAGACCACCGAAAGGTTGTAGGTCCCTTCTTCCCTCYTCCATTTATTTAGAAAAGGATTCTCTTATCTGGAATTGTACTTTGTCCTGGAAAGTAAGAGTGTGGGTGGGAGATGCTGGCCCTTCCTGCTCCGAAACAACATTCAAATCATACCTCAGACATTGCTGTGGCTTAATGGGAGCTGATTTATTTTTTAAAGCTATCTGTCGGCATTTGAATGACAGCCATTATTTTCTTCATATAAAAACTCAGTATAATMTGCATGACTGTATCTTAACCTCATTGTTTTTAGTGAGTCCAGTATATGTTCCTAGGATTCAATCTCTTTCTTTAGAAGTTCAGAAATGTTTTATTAATAAGACCCTTCTAACTTTCCACTGCCTTTGGACACTTACTATTGAAACAGATTTTTTAGAATAGTGTGAGTCAGTGCAGAGTCTTAAGCAACAAAAATTTATTCATAAGAAATTGCTTAAGGCAATCATAAGGATAGAATTAAGTAAAGAGTGGCATCTTGTTGACTAATTAAGAAGCTATTTAGACAGGATCRCACCCATCTGTGTCCAAATACAGAGAGGAGAATCTGCTGCATCAGATTCAAGTAACAGTTGAAATAAAAGACTGAATATTGCCCTGATGCTGGCTGGCAATGCCTGTGGTCTAAGTATAGACAGAAAACAGCCTAATCATTAAAAAAGGCATTTCCCACAATCAGGTACAGCGTACTGATATGAGTAATGATTAAAAGAATATTATTGGTGGAGGCTTTTTTTCCCTAATCATTGACTTGTATTTCCTTTATGCTACAGAAGCAAAACCTTAAAAATTAAATGCATGTATTCATATATTTTATATTTTAAAGAATAATTGTGTGGTGGAGAAGCTTCACAAAATCTTTTTTGAGCCTGGATGCATGGACAGATCATTTAAAGCTCTGGCTATCAAAGACAAGGTAGGATGTTACTTATCGTCTATACTTAAGTCTAACTGAAAAAGAGACCAATTTTGAAACAGTGTTTTCAGAATGATGCWCGTAATGAAAGGGAAATGTCTCTCATTCTCCTGTTGAAACTGACCTGAGATTTTGCACCTTTTGCCTATATTCCAGCCTTCAAGGACCAAACAAGTTTGTATGTCTACATTAGARGACATAGTTTTCCATTTTTATCTTGTTAAAGGGTATCAACCTTAAGTATTCATACAGACTTAAGCTAAACCAAGATTTTAAAAAAAAACTTTTTCTTTTATATTCCCTAAAAGTGCTGTTCTTGTAAAACTGTCATTCTGTTTGGGTTTCAAATTATAATGAATTTCATATCAAATGTTTTGCAGTATTGCTTTACTTTTAAAATAATCTGAAGGCTGATTATCCTAAAACTCAATTTCTCAAAACTTGTTTGAACATTGGTTCATTTTAGGAACTGGTACTATGGAGGAAAGAAAATTGGAAGTGGAGAAAATGAAGAAACAGCCCATTCTTATTTTGCAGGTACTGCAGCCTTGCTTTTATTTCGCTTGTGATAGTGTATTCTAGTGGGTGTACATCTACACTTACCTTGTAATTGATGGTCTTTTTCTTTCCCTTCTTTTTCCCTTCTCTGCAAACATTACTCATCTCACACACATAAAACAAAACGTTTTCCTTCTGTGTTGTGCCACAGTATCAATATGGTAAACCACCCTCTACGTGGATGTCTGTTTTACTGACTAGGTCTGGCTGTGCCTGTTATGCCCTGAGACATTAAAAAAACAGTGCTATACTTCTCCTTTCATTTAATAGCCCACCCTTAGGGGATGCTGCTTTGTCAAGCCCTGTCATAACATTGGGAGGGGAATAGGAGAGAGGAAGGGAGGAGAGAGGGAGCATCATCTCTTTCCTTATTTATTTTATCGGGTCATTGAATTGTCCATTCTCTTGCTCTGTTGCACTGGAAGTCAGAGGAAGACTGTTTACACGTTTTCATTACACTAAATCAAATACTTTTTCCTTGCTAAGTCTTTTTCTTTCTTAAACTAGAATCAACTTACGTTCGCAGTCCAAAGCCCGAATCTGTTCGGTTCAGTGTGGGACAGGTGATAATTCACAAAAGACTGGGCTACTCAGGAGTCATTGTTGGATGGGATGTAAAAGCGAAAGCTCCGGAAGAATGGCTGAAAACCAAATACCCTCCAGCAAAACAGGTTTGAATGTATTCAATTCTTGTTTAATACGTATAGTACATAGAATAACTCATAATAATAATTAAAAAAACCCTCAGAAACAGACTTTCTGCTGACCTAGCAGAAAAAGGGTTTGAGTCCTGTGTCACCAATGCAGCTGAGGGCTCCTGCTGCTTATCCACTCGGTCATCACAGGAGAGCCTTCTTATTGCAGCACTCATTGGTTGAACCTCACTGGCTTGGCATTGCTCTTGAATTAAAATTACTCACTTTTCACCCACAGCATTGCACTTAAAGCAGTTTCTCGTGGTATCTGTTCAAGTTAAGAAGCATTTAAATCCTGTATCTAATAATGCAAGTAGCAGTATCCTTAGTGCACCTAAGAAATGCAAGTGAGCTCTCATGCCTGATCAATTTCAGCTTTAAAGCTCTGTATTGGGGGGAGCTGGACTCTTGAAATGTAGAATTGCTCTTGTTAGAATTCTTGAAGCTTTTGAAACTGTCTGGCCTTGGTTTATTTAAAAAAAAAATCCTAACGTTGACAGTGTTGCTCTGATAACATATGAGCTTGGCTGCTCACGTTGCAAATCAGCAGGGATGCCAGAGGGGTCAGAAAAAGTGAGAAACTGCCTGTAGAAGAGAGCTGGTGTTCAACTGGGAACAGACATCCCATCCCGTGTAGTGTCTTCTGTTCGTTCTCTGTGGCAATTTTATCCACCCATTGCTCATCCCTGACTTCTAAAATATCTGCATCGGGGATTTTCCCCCCTTCTYTCTATTACTGTCACATACTCCCCGCCAGGTGTGCTGATTCTTTCTCCCTTGCTTAGTTCTGTTCTCTCAGTGACTTTGTGCTCATCTTTATGATTTTAATTTCAAGCGATGACTCATGCGGTTTCTTTTTTCTTCTTTTTCCAAACTGGCTTCTGCATCGTGGTATTACAGACATCAGCGACATGAAATCGCTTTGCCCATATGAGTCAACTAATGAGCTTGATCCTTGCAAATGCCCTCTAAGCATTATCCAGGCTTTCAGCTCCACCTTCTCCCGGCATCGCTGCTTGCCTGGACTTCTAGTTCATTAACACACGGCTGGCCAGAACTGCCTGCCAGCTTTATTGGCTCTCCATTCATCTGCCTTTTCTCATGCGTGGGGTGTGTGTTTGTGTTTGGTTGAGGTTATTAGGGGTTGCAGTGTTTACGAGGAGCCATCATGCAAGCACCCTGGTCTGTCACTTTTAGGCACTTAAAAACTACTGGTTTAGGCACTGTCAGAATATAAAAATAAGTAATAACCACAGTTTTTCTCCTTCGTGGCTGAAGTGCCCTGAATTATGGTGAGATAGGGGCCAGGAGTGTCAGAGGTATTATTAGGCTCTGTATTTGCCCCCCTTTTCAGTCCCTTTCTGTAAAAATTTGTGAAGGGAGGAGGATGACTAATAAATTGTTAYGGGAACTTTTTATAGGAAGCAGGGATATTCTATGTCATGTTTCTTGTAAGATTTACTGGAAGAAAAGATATTGGTTCTTTAAAGAGCATCTCAGGCCAAATACAACTTCACAGATGACAGGGGTGATTGTTTTATGTTCAATTTTCCAAACCGATGTTGATAAGAATATACATTTGTATTTGCCTTATATATTGAGGATTTTTTAGCATTTGTAAATCTACTAACTTATCATATAATGCAATCTTTAGTCATGATCTCCTCTTGAGGTTATTTTTCCTGTATTTTTACAGTATCTAAAAGATACTCCTCACTATCAAATTCTAATTAACAAGGCAAATGGATTTGGCAAATCTACAGCTTACATTCCTGAGGAGGAGATTACAGTTATTATGGGATTACAGGTAGTATTCATTTTTTATTTAACTGCAATGTGTTTGTTGTCTTGCATGTTTGAAAGCTCGCTGACCTCTGACTTCATAGATGCTAACTATCCATTTAATAAAGGTAGTGAAAAACAGCAGAAAAAAACTCACCTTATTAGTGCACTTGCTAACACAGATTTTTCAGGCGATAAAAGACTAAAGCCAAGTGCTGCCTACTTCCAAGTATTCAACAACTCTCTCTATTCTTTTTCTCTCAGATTTTGGCAACTTGACTTGTAGTGTGAACAGGAATGGACTTTGTTTCAGAATTTCACTGACCCATCAGATTTGAGCAGGTCATTTAATCTCTTGCTATTATGTCCAGCAACGCATATTGGTTTTGCAGTTTCCCTTTGGAAAAAAAAACTACATTTCAAAGAGCTTTGGCTCAGATGCTGCCCAGACTGAACGATCCCTTTCTGCTTGACTGCAAAGCTCTGTGGGAGCTAAAATTCTGTTTAGCGCATGATGATCTCAGTAGCATTTGCTGTCCAGCTCATGCGAGGTGCACCTGATTCTTAAAGCAGTTAGTGTTTAAGTCCTGGGAGGAGTCTGGTCCAGGGGACAACCTTCCTGCACATGGGCTGCAGGCAGGCGGCCCTTCCGCAAGGCAGCCAGCATGGCCGTGGATRCCTTTTAATTGGAAAGTGGCAGTATCTGAATTCAAACTAACCTCGAGCAGTTAAACCATTTGTGTGACACATGAGGAGCTCCATCCTGCCCCACGGAGAACGTTCAAAGTGGTGGCTTCTGCCTTCCTTAGAAAGCCCCAATCAAACTGTGTGGCTTGAAGGATCTCCAAGCTTCATGTTGAAACTGGGCCTCCATTTTGGCCAAATTCTGTAACAGAAGATGCACTAACACGTGGGAACTCGGCCAGGCCATCTCAGATGAATGTCATATGTATTTAAAATAGGGTTTTGACTGCTCCCAAAGACACACCTTCCATTATGTCAGTTGGTCAGAAAGAGATACCTCAAACATTTACCTCATGTGAAAACCAGCCCTTAAGATGTCAGGCTGCTTTTCTKAGCCACAGGAGGTTTAGAGTCCCCCTACCGTATTAAGGGAACTGATAGTAACAAGCTTGCAAAATTAGACCTTTGAAAGTTGGGTGAGATTAATTACAAACTGTACTATCATGCCTAGTTCAAAAGGTCTGCAGCTGCCCTCGCTCCTCCCTTCCTTACGTTCAGGTGACGGTTTACTTTCCTAAAGGGGGTTTGGACTAAAGAGAAGAGAAAAAACTTAAACTCATTCTCACCCTTTCCTAAGGGGCAGTTCTAAACAACAACCTGTAAGCTTCTGGCTCATGACACAGCGTGTAATGTGGATCCCCCTCTGGATTTGCACTTTAAAGATGGATATTATGCTGCCTACGGCCCTCACTTCACCAACTGCTSATTTATTCTTCCTGCTGTCTAATTGGAGTAGATAACTGATCCAGCTGAAAAGCAGCTGAAAAACAGCTCCACCAGCACCAAAGAAGTGGAAAGTGCGTCCCTAAGAAACTGTGCTGATTAAAGGCCTCAAGCCCTGGCTCGATTAAGCACTAGTTATTTCATGGGGCATGTTCAAGATGCGTAGAGAGCTCCGCAGTTTGAGGAAACCTCCTTTACGCCATCAGAACAAGGGTTGAGGCATGTCAAAAATCCTGCTGAAAGTGCCTTTAAGCGCAGCTTGTATTTAACACCAAACAGGAGTCAAGCATCATAACTGAGTAACTTAAAATAATCATTAAAGCATCCATTGTTATGCAGTGCTAGCTCTGATGTCTGCTACCCAATTATCTCCCCAGGTACATCACTCGGATATGATAGCCTATTTCAGTGGCTACGATGGGTCCAAGTACATTATGCAGCCCTGGTTGAAAAGAACCTATCCCCATGACTGAGGTGTTCTCCAGGCCATGCACATCACACTTCCTTTTAAACCATCAGAAATGGATAAAATAGATGTAAATTATTTCTTAAGAAATAAAACTGAAATTTTTAAGTGTGTTTTTGTCTTATGTTGGACAATCCCTTTCAGCAGAAGTGAACACACTGCATGTTGAGTGTAGCCTTTACACAGAACTGGATTTAGTTTCCTAATTGGAAAGTTTTAAATCTAACCCAACTTCAGGTAGCAGGAGCTAAGGTTTTGAATGCCAAATATGTCTTTTGACAGAGGGATGGGAATAAGTTAAACAGTTATAAGGAGCTGCCAGAACTAACAGCAACGTGATTTAAGGGCAGAGAGCTAAGAAAAAGGTCAAATGCCACTCAAACAGTTCTGCAGAGAGCTGCAATAAATAAATCCTGCAATAATCTGACCACTCTATTTTTACAAAGCCCATGTTGTAATTCCTTTAAGTGATGCATGCGAAGGAAGAGTTGAGGGTGACGTGGAACTGTATCAAGGGTAATCCTTTGCACCTGTGTAGGCTGGTAGACGCTTCTACCTTAGCCCTACCTGTCAAGAGTTGAAGTATGAATTAAAACAAGCAAAAAGACAAAATAAAAAGTAGATATAATGCTAGTAAAATCAACTTTGAAAACTTCTAAATCTACAAGTACTTATGCTCCATGAACAACCATGGTTTTCAACATGGTTGAAAAATGAAGGCATGTGGACACTTGATCCAAGGTTTCYGTGACCAGAATGTTTCTAGAGCAACTTGTTTCTTTTGTTTTCCTTTCCCTTTATCTCAAACACAGCAGATACTCTACAAGACACATAAACAGTCGCATTCTGGATTCTTTCCTGCAGAGTYAGTGAATCTGAGGTGTCAGACAGGTGGGCGTCTCTGTGGCCTCCCCATTCTTTTGTTTCCTCTTCTCTTATTAAGAGGGGTTTTCCCAGTGACTGGCCAAACAACCGACAGACTTCCTGGGCCTTCCGCCGCGTGTTCGCAACAGCAGCCACGCACACTTGACGGCTGAGAGGTGGAAAAGCAGCAACATAACAAGCAGGACCAACTCTTGTGCACGTTTTCCTACCACATAACTTTCTACAGCGCCAGTGTTTTCACACCTCATCCCCTGCCAGCTTCCGGGCGGCCGTGCAGAGTCCGAGGGGCAGCTCGGAGCGGCGGGTGCCCGCGCGGGCTGTGGGGAGCTCCCAGCCCATACGCGCTGCTGCGGCTGTGTGCGGCGCAGCAGGAGCTCAGCCGGGGCCCCTGCAGCCTCCCGGGCCCATTTCCAGCTARGCCCCCGCACACACCTCTCCAGAGCTCAGAGCCTCATTCCTTAMACAGGCAAAATCCCATCAAGGATAAGGTCCCCTCTATCCCCCCCACCATTTCCACAGAGGAATCAGGAGTCTGAATAATTAACTGCGGAAATATCAAGGCCCCGGGGGTTCAAAGGAGCATGTTTTGGTGCTAAATAAGGACTGTGAGTGGCACCTTTCAGAGCCTGTCAGCAGCTGGGAGCAGTGGGAATTGCAAAGAAGACTTAGAATTACCAACATCTGGTACCACGTTCATGCATTAATCCAAATTAAAACTAATGTGGCTGATGTAACCTAAAGCCAAAATATGACACCCTAGCTAAGGTTAACAGTTGATAATACAGCCAAGTGAAATCAGCGTGAAAATGGTTTCTAATACATTCTGCTTTTGCACAGGGGTACTGCGAAAGAACACGCTGTAACGTTCTAGGCTGAACAGCATAARTTTATAAAATTATATTTACAAAAAATGCGGAAATACTTGCATGTAAATTTTACCAGGCATCAAGGAAACTCCGTGTCCCCATTCTAAWCAGTATCCAGGATGTACTCCTATCAGCTCTTGCCTGAGCTTGTGCAATCTGTGGGGCGAGCAGGAACTTACCGAAGGGCGTCTACGGCCTCCGGMGTGTGGTAGAAATGGGGTGCGCCGACAGTGACAGAGGCCCCTAGCTTTTCCGTGAGGAGATTGCAAACAGTCTGCATTTTCCCAAAATCACTGAATATAATAGAGACCTGGGAGCAAACACAGACATTACACAAGTCATTTTTTTTCTCCTATAATGCATTTGTAATTAAATCACTGCAGTTGTATGTACAAACTAAACATACTGGAGTCTTGTATGTAACAAACAGGGAGGTGTCTAGAATATTTTTATAAAGAGTCTGCCATTGATTTTGCAATAGAAAGATCTTCATAAAATGGTTCAAAACTGTGGACTGGGAAGATGCTCTTCTGCAAGGGAGTGCAGTATTCTTGATGTGTAACTCACCTGAAGAGTGAACACGTCCTCTTTGGGACATGTGGGCAGATGCATCCCAATTCCTGCCTTTATCAGTCAGCCTTAGATTACCAGATGCTAATTATGTAGAAGCCCAAGCAAAACGAGGGAAACGCTACGTATTTTATTTCCAAGCATTGGGTTCAGAAAACTTAAGTTGTCAGATGAAGCTAATCTTTGCCTAGTCCCCAAGTTGGATTCAAAACCTTGTGCTGGGTGAACAGGGTCACTTCAGTGACAGGGTCACTTCACTGGACACCACAGACCTGGATTAAAACCTATTAAAGCGTTCAGCTGGCTGTGGCTGGGGCTGTAAGCAGCCCTGAGCACACGTTTGAGGAAGGTTCTCTCCACAGGAGCAGCGGGTGCTCTCTCCCCGTACCCACAGTGCTGCGCACAGGCACCACTGTGAACCCAAGCCCAGAACCTCACTGCCTTCCCTGTCAGGAAGGACCTGCCCCTGACTTCCAGGCCAGGAAGCCTTTCCCTGTGACAGAGCACAGCGGTCAGCTCCGACCCAGTGATCAGAGATCCACATCCTAGACCCCTCTCTGGGAGGACCACATCCTTTTTCTGACCTCCTGGGAATGCGCTCTCACCACTGCCACCACCCAGGCAAGCTCCTCTCTCACCCCATTTCTTTTCGCACACCACTACAGTGCAACAGGGAGGGAAGAAACCCACGGCAAAGAAAACTCCCCTGCAAACTCCAGTGAGACACAGGCTGTGCTGTCTGTGCAGCCCACGAAACCAGCTCTCCCAGTTGAGGCACAGAGCAAAAATCTCAAAGCTACTGCCCAGTAGGTGCTCTGCACTTACCCCCTGCGTGCGGTGTCACCCGSTGATAACAACAAGAATCCAGGTAAGAGACGGGAGATGAACATCATGTGCAGGGTAAGGTAAATACGGACCCTGGCAATTATCAGGAAGCAGCTAATGCACAAGCAGCTGGCTGCTCCGGAGAGCTKGTCCCAGGGTAGGGCACTTCCCCTTGTGCGGGCTCCAGTCTGTGCACAGGCTCCRTGTCTCCACCTCCATCCACTGCAAGGACACAGGGCCATGTCCGTTGTGCAAAACTGACCCTCCAGTTCCTGCCTCCTCGCCCGAGTTTTACGCTCATACTTGGAGCACCTTCCAACATGGATATGAATTGCATTGGAAAATGAAACTGAACCTGCATTCCTTTCTTCAGCATGAGCTCCTCCCAAAACTTTGATGCAGGGTTTGCAAGGGGGTTGTCATAACCATTACTGTGTGGAAAGCAGAAAGGACAGTGTCATTGTGAGGCCCCCACAAGGGCTTCCAAGCTGCTCTCAGTGTTTGTGAGAGTCCTTCCCTCAAGCAGATCAAAGAGCCAGCAGAGAAAAGCGTTGTGGCTCTCGAGCCAGAGCTGGGCTGCTCACACTGCACAAGTCCTGGGCACTCAGGACCTTCATTTTTGAGGAARAAGCAGGAACCCTCAGAGCAGAAATAACTGCCCTCTGACAGCTGTGATCTCTTTTAAAAAAATCATASTTTTCACTTAGGTTACTTAGACTAGGTGCAATAAATTCTACTGAAATTCACTGACGATATCTTGAACTCTTAATTATGTCTGTCAATGTAATTTATCTGATAATTTCCTTAATCTTCCAAAAAATAAGTAGAAAAATGCTAAAAAGAGTTCATAGAATATGACATGACTGTTGAGATTTGATGTATGACACACTATAATAGCAAACTCACTGGTACAGAAGCCAGTTCCAGTTAATCTTYAGTTCACTTCTGTTGCTAAAGCAGTCAAAGGCACTGGAACTTAACTGGCTTATGAGGCTCTACCAACCATCTAGTGCTTAAATAACTGGGGAGGAAAGGAGGAACTGATCTCTGCACAGAGAGCTACCATRACTGCTGCTTACAGGCACAAGGCAGCCAAGGTACCAGTCCTATGAGCAGATTTTCCAGTTCCAGCTCTCAATTCTAGGTGACCAGGCAACTTTTGAACAGCCACTACAGCTGACCCACACCATCGACTGACAAACACTTGATCCATGTAATCTGTTTTTCCAGTTCCAATCTTTGTTGTATGAAAATCAGTATCAGGAAAAGGTTGACGATTGGTTAAGTCAAGACTGAAGCTGTAAGCCAAGGCTTGTCTGTTGTCTACATAATAATTGGATAGAGTTTTATTGATTTTTTAAGTGTATCTTTTCTAAAAGATCTAGTAATTTCAGCTTTCCTTGTGGTACTTGTCTACATTATAAAGTTAAAATAATTCAGAACAGACACTCACACATATCATTTAAGTAGCTGAGGACTCATTTTTAACTCTAATTTGTCTTCTGCAAATTCTCAATTACTTCTGTATTTACTGTTGTTCTTTGGATGAGAATATGCCTCAAAATAAATGAACAAACAAATCAGAAAGGCTGAGCCCTGCTTTAGGGAACTGTAAGCAACAGCTCTATAAAACAGCTATCATTGCAGTTTTCACATTTACAAACTGACTTCACAAGAATCTGTAAAGTTACTGTGTAGTCATTAAAGTTGGATGCATTGAAAAGATTCATTGCTTGAAAACACATCATTTCCCCCAGTAAATGATTCTAGGGCAACATTTACTTTTTGCTGTGGCACGAACATGCCAAGCTGCCCTCCCCTGGGCCACTTCTGAGGTAAATGGCATTATTCCCATATTTAGCTTTCGCACAGCACTTTTTACGAATTACCTAGGGAGAAATTAGCTCTGCTTTAGTGGCAGAGCCAAGCGGAGGAGGCGCCAGGTCCAGGTGCTGCTCAGCTGTGCCTGAAGCAGGTCTAGAGCGGGGCTGCCACTCCTGGGCCCCCTCCCTCTTGCCCTCTATTCCGCATTCCTTCCAGCCAGGGGCTGAAATGATGGAAAAATCACCACTTTGGGGAAGCCTTCTGAACCAAGCTGCCACCTGGTAATGTAGGTACAGCTCCTGGCATGGGGCAGAGGGCACAAACGGTGAGGGGCAAAGGAGAGAGCAGCGTGATAGGGCATTAACCCGTGTTTGCTTATACTGCCCAAACCTGACAGTCTTAGAGTGCAAGGACACAACATTCCCTTCTACAGCATCACCTAAAATTCACCCGTTCATCCGAGAAGAAAACAATTATTGCTATATTACAGTGGCAGCAAACAAATATTCCGCACAAAAGAGTGGACAGTTACCACTTTAAATGGCAGCTTTTCTCTGGACTACGCTGCCCTCRCTGCACAGCGCAGCCACTCCAACAGCAATGAAAGACTCTGCAGCTCCCCCGGCCCTCGGTGCCTTCTGCCTCTTGGCTAGCAGAAACACCCACCTCCGCGTCCATTTGGTAAGTGTCTTCTAGTCTACTGAAATCCTCTGTTACGGTCATATTTTCTTCCTAAAACAAAGTACAAGAATATAATTGTAACACTCAGAAACCAAGATGTTAGAAATGTATTTACATCACATTCTGTAAAAGTTGGACAGTTTTATAACTTAGCGACAACAGTTTGCAATCTTTCTATGCAAGTCTCTTCAGTTCAAACTAGACAGATTGGTTAAAGTCATTTAAAGTGATTTACACAGTACTTCTAGAATATAATTTTGTTGCTGTTCACTTGAGGAGGAGAAGACCTGTAACGGTCACTTCACCTGGTTCACAACATTAGAAGTTTACATTTTTAGAAAGTTACAGTAGGAAAGGTGCTTCAGTGAACCCCTATTTTAAGATATTTCTCAAGTGAGGCGATTTAAACAATGAGCAAATCATTCATATTCTAGCAGAATGGTAACCATAAAAGGCTATTTCACCATCGACACTTTCTTGAACCTATTAAATTTATTTCTGAACCTATTAAATGTATTGTACATTTAAAAAAATATAACGTGCTTTCAGACCTATTTCAGAAGATACTGTGTTTCAGAGTATTTGCTGGGGAGGATTCAAATTTTCAACTTGACTATACAGCAGGAAAAAGTTTGTAGGAGTGACAATAATCTGTAGTCTAGGGCTGTTTTCCTCCTGAAGTATCATATGGAGTTTACGTTCATWATTAGCACGTACTAGAAGTCAATTGTGAAAATTCAATGTGATCATTGGTTGGCAGTGCTCAAAGTCATATGTATTTCATAGTAATTACCAAACCTTAGAATAAATATTGAAAAACCACATTTGTTTCTCCTTGTTCCCATTCCATTATCCCTTTCAAGGAGTTCTCTTCCTCAACAAATTCTCTTCTAAAGCTTTTGGTTTTTTTGGTTTAACCCTGTATATTTAAGCACGGTGCCATCTTGTGGTGCTAGACATTATCGCAACAGCTCTGCAATCGAAGTGAAAAATCGTTGATTTTGGTGCCATCCACTACGGGCTCCCCTCCCAGCTAATTTTTATCCACGAGAGTCGGCGGTAGCTGTACGTGGCAGCACAGAGAAAGGGAAGAGGTAACAGCAGAAGTCGCAACTACGGGTCCTCTTGTGACACATCCTCCACTAGGCGTTTGCCCCTGTTCAGGGACCTGCTTTACCCCCAAACACGGAGAAAAGGCAGATGGGTGACACCAGGCTCAGGCTGGAATTGAGACTTGCACTGCAGCCAAAGAAAAGCCTTTTCTTTCCCCTGGAGTTTACGCCTGCTGTTGATACTGTACATCCTTTTGGCTGAGGGGCTGCTTATTTGATTGCAACAGCCACAGAGACAGACCGTTCTCATGGTGCCCTAGGACAGGCTGTGTCAGGTGCTTTGCACTTCTGGAATAGTTTCTTTCATTTGTTAAAAGTGTGGGGCAAAAATCACATTAGGAATATTACATGAATGTAACGTTATTTTGTAACATTATTTTTATATGATACCTCAATTACTCCTCCAAACCCATGCACTGTTCTCAACGGAATCACATTTGCACTCTGCTTGTTTTCTGAACCACCAAGCGAAATAAACTGTAATTGTTGCAAATGAATAATTAGGCCATTTTATTTGATTTATGYGCCCTGAAGGTATGACCAGAGCTGTGCTGTGTTAGGTACTACACAAAAATAAGAAGTCAGTCAATATCCCACAGAGCTTTTGATAGCAAGTTGGGAACTACACTTTATCTACTGCTTTTCTTTATTTCAACAGATTAATATCCTATAGTACTCTGTTCCTCGCCACCAAAGAATGCTTTCTTTTTCATGAAACCATCATGCTGACTCCAATTAAATCACTGTGGTTTAAAAGAACAACCACTTTTTTTCCCCAAAAGAGTATAGGAGATATATATATATATATATATATATATTTAAATCTCTATATATTCATTGAAAGCACACCTCAAGGAGGCAGCCGTATGATAACACAATGTGAACACAACCTATCTGAAGGGAAAACTGTGTGTTCCCCTCCTGGCTTCTGAGCTCACAAAACCATGTGTCCATGCCATAAAAACACAAGACTGGGCTCAGTAATGAAAAACAAATAGTGTTTCATAAATGACAGAATGACAACCAAATATCTACAGTGAGGAGGTCTCTGATGCTTATGGTCCATTCCAGGGATCACAGAAGTARATCGAACTGTTATTTTGTCAAAGAAAGAAAGCAGATTCATATGCAGCAAATCAAGAATACTCTGGAGAAATTAGTGGTAGCCTAAACAAAAGGGTTTCTCATGCAGGTTTCTGTGCTTCTTAAGAACATTTTGAAATCAGATAATGTTGTATCTGAGTAAGAAAAGAATATAAATTTTTGCTCATTGACTCTTTGGATGTCAATGCATATCTGTCACTTGCCAATACGGAGGATACTACGTTTATATCCAGGAGCCTATCCCTGTAGAGACAACATCTCAGACAGAGCTGTGGTGGACACAGTTTGTGAGCTCATGTGTTCTGTTAAATAAGCCTGATTCGGGAGCCTGCTTCTGAATCACTGCTGCTTCTGAACAGGGTGCCCAGTGACGACTGTCACCTGCAACGCTTAAAGAAAAATGCATATAATCCCCACTGCATGCTGGAATAAAACATGTTCTAAATTTTAATCAATTTGCTGCTGGAGAAATAGAAATGTTGCCTTTGAACAGCTGGGCTAAGAGGCTGGTTTCCCCGTTGGTTTTATTTCCCTGCAGCCCCCAAAGCAGATTCTGTTTTCTGAAGTGTTCCACATACTTATAGCATTCTATAAATAAACAGCACTGTGTGCATCTATTTCTGATTAAAATCTTGTGTAAATATAGATGGAAATTAGGGGCAGCCCTCAGGTTTCTCACAAGCTATAGTCAAGTTTCTGCTGCTACAAAGGTTGCACACCTCTGACCTCCCAGAGCTCCCATGAGAGCAATAAAAACTAACTAAACTAAAATAAAAGAGATTGAGGAAATTGTGCTACAGTAAAAAAGTATATGGCCAGATGATTTCTGAAGAGACTTTAGATAAGCTTGAAACAATTGGAACTGTATGAACATCATGAATGGATACTAATTTTCCAGCGGTCTAAAGGGTATTAACTATACACGTTGTCAGGAAACCCATTTAAGAAAAAATTGCCAGCAGTGCAAGCTGTTAGTYAGAGAAAAAGTCACCAGGCAAACGAATGCTCCACTAGAGAATGATTTAAAATGGGATGAAAAAGCACTCAAAGTTACAGCACAGGGAGCAGCTCTGAAAAAGGACAACTTGTTGTTGTTCTCGGAGCTTCCTAGAGCTAACACACCACTAACACTGAGAAACCCAGGCGCCAGGCGGCATTTCCCAGCCTCGCTAGCAAGCGGCAGGAACTGACATTTCCATTTCCAGCACGCAGTGGCTTTGATACCACGAAGTTACAACCGTACCCAGGCTGAGCGCTCAGGTCTCAAAGCCTAAGAGCAGCCTCTCCACCTAGGCTGCACCGCCACCTCTTACACGCTCCCATTACCCTTCTCRGTCTGACTACATATACCTGAACAGAACTGTCTATCTGTGTGGGTCACACTTTGTTTTGCCATTGTTTTTCCCAGTCTGCAGCAGGATTTCCAGCGCTTGTAAACAGGCTCATTTATTGGGCCTCCTGCCGACACCTCCTCCGTGTGGGCCGCAGTGCTGCTGGTGTCCCAACCAGAGGCAGTTGCTCAGATTCACTGGGGGCTGGATACCTGCAGCCTCCTTCCCAGTCCTGCCACAGGTTGAAGAGCTGTTTAATTGCAGGTAGCAAGAAAACAGCTCGTGGCCTGSTAGCTCCCTGCACGGCCTGGGATGGGTACAAAGCTCATTATTTCCTCTGCTAACAGAATTAACACAATCGAATTCGCTCACTTTCCCCCGTTCCTTCCCCAAACGCAACTTTAATGTTAACTCATGGAAGAGATACCAAAGGCAGCCAAGATACAATTCCCCCCGCTCCAGAACGTTCCTAGGGCCCTTCCTAGGACGCCGGGGGCTCTCACCGCCACGCCGCGCTGCCGGGCGCTCTGCGCGATGTACTCGAGCCGCCGCGCCACGCTGCCCCGCGCCGCCGCCGCCGCCGCCTTGCGGCTGCCCAGCCGCACGCGCACCCGCGCCCGGTCCGGGCCGGCGCTCAGCTCCGCGCTGCCGCTCACGTGAACCTCCCGCGGGGCCCCGCCGGGGCCGCGCTCCGGGGCCGCCGGGGCCGGGCCCAGCTGCGCGAAGACGCGGGCGGAAGGCGGCGCCATCGCGCTAGGCCGCACGTCTCCTCCCGGCACCATGGCAACCAACGCCGGCCGCCCGCTGCACCCTGGGAGCCTGGCACGTCATCGCCTACGTCACCACGACAGTCACCACAGCGCCGTCTCTAGCCGGCAACCTGCCTTTCYGCCATGACAGCTACCGAGGCGGAACTTGCCTCTCCCCCTGTCTCAGGAGGCTCCGCCATGACAGCTATCGAGGCGGAAGTGCGCCCGCCTGCCCGGCCACCCCGGGGACCCGTGTCACGGCGTGGCGGGCGTTCGCGTCCGTTGAAGCAGCGAGGGAGCCGTTGGCGAGACCCGTGTGGGGCGGCCGCGTGCTCAAAGGAGAACCTCTGTTCCCCATATGTGATTTTTTTCTTTCCAGAATATTATTTCCATCCTTGGAGATATTCAAAGSCGGACTCCTCTCTTCGTTATCTCCACTTGCAGTGTGCTCAGTGTCTTGTCCTTAGATTCTGTACAGACCTCYTTTCCCACCATTGATATCGTATCTGCCTTAAGTGACCTTAAGTCTTGCATGCCTCCTGATATTTGGAGTTTTCTGCCCAGTGTATATGTTTTTCTCTGTATAGCTGCTGAACCCTTAAAACCAGAGATGAAATGGGTTGTATTTGCTAGGTGTTCATTACCTTTGGAGACGACACTCCGTGTTTCCTGGCATGAAAAAAACAGAAGTAGGGACACTCGGAGCTTTGAATGTAGYGGACTTCTTGATTAGAGTTACTGCGTGACCGGACAAGGACGGAGCTTGCAACAGAATCCATAAATACTGATGTCTGATCGCTTAAGGTCTAGACCAGCAAGGGAAAGAGAACGTGAAATGAAAATTAGTGGGGAGGAAATTAGAAATGTATGTTCCTAAGAAATAAAATCTTCTGCTAAATAGAGACTTGAGATGTTTTTGTAATCAGTCTGTCAAAACGGAACTTCTTTTTATCCATTTAGTTGAGATGTTGTAGTGAATTTACTTACTCAAATATGTAACAGTTGTACTGGGCACACTCAATATTGAATGCCAGTCATTAAGAAATCATCAGTAAAATGCTGGATAATCTATTAAGCCAAGCTGCATACCCTCTAGGTTGTTTCTGTGTAGTGAGCACTACTCTCATTTAGCTGCTAATGGAAACTGATTTCCTTCTGATTTTGTCTTTTGTTGGCATCCAACCTGTATCAGCTAAATCCGCTGGARTAGCTGCGTGCAAATATGCAGTGAAATGCCACGTACTCTCTGCATTTCAAAATCAAATGCTGTATGATGTTTAACTTTCTGGGAACATAGTGTATCTACTGCAAATKCTGCAAAAAGGCAGCCTAATTAAAGAGCTTGTTTGGATGTGTTTTAGAAGACGTTTTCCAAGGCCAGTTAKGAAATTACATTATAGGCAAATTAATCTAGGGAAAAGTGCGTTTCTCTGAAACAGTGCAAGCGTTATTAGGTAGTTAACATGCGCTGTAAAAACAGCACACGCTCAGGTTAATGTACTGACATAACCATATTTACTTGGCAGTATTTTTAAGGGTCCTTTGCAAAGCACCAGTGTATTGAGAAGCTGTCACTCAGAATTTGAGTATAAAGCCACATCTGCAGATAACAGGCTTTTCCTGGCTTTGGGGAGGAATTATTTTTGAAAATGGATGGACTGAATCAAGCGGTTCTTGCAGTGCTTAGAAAGCCAGTATAATTGAGAATGTGATTCTGCTAATTTATGATTAAACTATAAAAATGAGAATTAACTGCAAATTACAGAGAGATAAGAAGATGCTGGGTTGTTCTTGGAATTTACTTTTTCCTTTGGAAACAAGTGATTTCGTTGTGATTATATTTCTGATAGTAGCAGTGCTAATTTGCCTAGGACTTCTAATACGGGAGCTGGTTTTCTTGTAAGACAAAGAGTTGTAAGATTTTTGGAGGTTTGGAATGTGTGTGGAAAATAAGCCTCTGTTAAAACTGTTTCCAGGGATTTGCTTGTGGCAGGGGAGCTTCCTAGGGGCATTTTTCCTCAGGTCTTCCTGTCACCTGTCCCCAGATGGGGTGTGTCACGATAGCAATTGGTGTCGGTGTTAACACAGTTGTTCCCTACCATGCTCCGGTGCAGAGCTGGTCGCTTGCTCCTTACRTGGGTTGGCCATCGCTCCGTTACAAGCCTTGGTTTGTTACCCTTTCGAARCTGTGTCCTGCCCAAAACTGAGAGTAAAGACAACTCTACAAGATTTAAAATGATTTTGTTGCAATTCACTCAAACCGCTGGATTCTTAACTGAATAAAGGTCACCAAAAGGTTTAAAACTTTTTCTCCATCTTTTTTTGGTTGCTTGTTTTGTTTTTAAGAAAAAAAATGCATAAAAGAAAGAGAAAATGGAGTTAGCGGCCCTGCCACAGCTGTTATTTTATTTCCAAGATCAAAATTTATTAGATAAGTATTGAGCTCTGGCTCAATGGAACATGGAACTTAGATCACTTCTGTGAAATAAAGGACCTAAGCTCAGAGGAAGGAGGGAGACTGTGTCCCCTAAAACAGTGCCTCCAGTTACCGATGCTTCCAATCCAGTGTCGAGTCAGTGCAGTTTTAAGGATGAGTTTCCATTGGAGACTTCAGCATATGGAAAACAGTAGAAAACACCTCTCTCACAAGAGGAGTTTGTTGTCCGCATATGGGAAGTCACAGCGTTGCTAGAAAGTAAGAATATAGACTAGTTCAATTTTTGCTTTCCTTTAAGCAATTAGCTATCTCACAGATTCAGAAGAGATTTTCCTATTTTCTTCCTTAAATAGTGATTTGACAGGATACAGTGACTTTACAGGTCACCCTTAAAAAACACTGGCTTGTGCTCAGGCTGCGCTCAGATGTGGTCCAACCTTTTCTAGTTTTTAACTTGTCCCTTTAATAAAAGCAAAGTTTACTCTGTTTTCTTACTCAAATTGAGCATACAAGGTGAGCAGTGGTCCTCTCATCTCTTCTCTGTTTGCAGCTGTTGAGGAAATGAGCAGGTACTTTTACCTCAGGCTACTAGTCAAGAAGCTGCAGCACAAGAAACGTCAGGTCACTATGGACAGTTTCTGTAAAAYCTCTAAAGAGCTTCGCACGGCTGCTGCTGAAGTCAATTGAAAGTCTGTCCATAGTCACAGCTCAGTGAAAGCCTAAGGCCTGGTGGATAGTGATGTGATAGTGCAGGCAGCTGTAAGAGAAAGAGCTAAACCAAGACCAGCAGAAACTGGGTTTCAATGTATTTTCTCTAAAATATTAAATGTTCTGTTTTTAGTGGCAGCTGAAAGTGAAGGGAAATCATGGTCCCAGTTTGAGGGTATGAACGTTGCGTGAAGGCTGCACGACTCCTTGAAGAGGTCCTCGCTATTGCATTGGCCAAGAAGTGGTCTCAAATTATTCTGTGTAAGTAATAAATCTTTGCCCCGAATTGCAAAGCATATTTAAATGAATCGATCACTTAAAAAATAGCAAATCTGCAGAATCTGGTTGTATTAACTGAAAAGTAATTTAAAATTCTATAAGCAACTGTTAATTAAAAATTACACTAGCTTAACAATTTTAATACTAAATCCCAGTTCATTATTTAAAATGTCAGYTGAGCTTTTGTGAGTTCTAAAGGAAATACACATTTTCTCCAGCCTATAATTTTGTATTTTCTTAGAAGTGTTTAMTGACAGTGAACAAATGCCCATGTATGCTTCTCACATATAAAACATCTTCATGTTACCTGCTYACAATTTTTCCTTCTTTAACAGAGCAATATACCCCTGTAATTTGTCCATCATGGAACCTGATCATCCTGATCATTAAAGCTCTTGCATCTTCAGTAGAAGCCAATTAAATGAACTTTGTAGAGGCAACTGCACAACTGGGGAGAAGTCCAGAATCCGAAATTTTACAGCTRAAAAATCCCCATGTCCTGACTTTCATTAGAAGCCATACAGCTTTCATAAATTTGTAAATGTGCTGTCTGGAAACGTGCTTTTAGAAAAATATATAATCTCAATGGAAAGACTATGGAGAGCATCTTGCTGTTCTTGGTCGGATACTTAATTACTCTCATTGTTTTAAAATAGTTGTTATGCCACATAGATTCATAGGAAATAGGGATTAGGAGAGAATAGAATTTAAGAAATCTATTCTTTTCCAAGGCAGAATCAACAGTCCTTGATAGATTTGCAACTAAGACATGCTCAGAGAAGGATTTTTTTCTACTTCCCAATATCCCAGCTGTCCTTACTCTCTGCCGTTTGCTTCTATCCTTTTCTTGACAGGAGATTTAAGCACTGCACTGACTCAACACTGGATTGGAAGCATTGGTAACTGGAGGCACTGTTTTAGGGGACACAGTCTCCCTCCTTCCTCTGAGCTTAGGTCCTTAATTTMAAACGAGTTTTCCCCACGCTCCCTCTCTTAGACTTCCTTCCCTCACGACTGACTGCAGAAACCTCTGTCCCATCTTTGAAATGCAAAAGAAGGCAGTTTTTACCACAGGCCGACTTCATCCTGAGCCTCGGCACTCAGACCCTGCTCTTAGCTCCTGGCTGCGGCCAGATTTAGCGACAGGCTTTGAATTCCAACAGGGTGAACRTGCGGCTGCTTCATTTTTCCCCAGAGGAGCTTTTATCAGACCWGTTTCTGGGATTTGTCTGCTCAGTCACATTTCTGTTCATGTGAAATGCAAACATCTTCAAAATCAGCACTTAAYAATTGTCTAAGTTTGGGTTAGAAACTACTTTTTTTTTTTTTTCCTAAAAAAATATTCTTCCCCTTGCATGTTGTTTATTTAACTCTACCAGATCCTAGTTCCACAACACCATGACATGGACAAAAGATACCTTTGTTTTCAGCAGTACAAGTTACAGAGTGATTGAAATCTAAAATTCATCTGTGATGCAACATGTGCTGTTATTTGCCATAAAATCACCCAGGCAGTCATTAGACTGGGCCCTATATTCTGAGCAAAAAAAGCAAAAAGCAAAAGCGAAAAAAGAAA